GGCAACGTGTCATTGGCGTGATCATATACTATGTACATATTGGCCAAATTAACACGCCAATCTAATGACAAATTCCGGGTTTTTTTTAAATAAATCGAAAAGTTTTACATATATTTACGTCGCAAAAAATTTGATAAAAACTATTTCAAATATTATTCAAATTATAATAAAAAAAATAAAAATTTTTAGAAATTTTAAAGTAAAATTACTTACCACAAAAATGATAATTTCACTTGTGGCACTTAACTTTTTAGCACTTTTCCAAAAATTTTTTGAAAAAAGTGCTTATTAGTTTCACTCTGTCCGTCCGTCCGTCCGTCCGTCCGTCCGTCCGTCCGTCCGTCCGACCGTCCGTCCGTCCGTCCGTCCGTCCGTCCGTCCGTCCGTCCGTCCGTCCGTCCGTCCGTCCGTCCGTCCGTCCGTGTGTCTGTTTACAAAACTTCTACATTCTTAAAGATAGAAAGCTGAAATTTAATACGTACATAGATCTTTACTAGAAACTTATTTTCGTAGAACAAAATTTTTACCTATCTCCCCCCCTCTAGAAGTTATACCACCCCAAAGCACTAAAAATAGCCTATTTTAACTATTTGTTGCAATGAAACCATAAGCATTTTTGAAATTTTGCAAACGCAGAAAGGCAGTAGCTTCCTTCCCCTAGCGCAGTATACTATAGCTAAACTTTAGAAAAACAAAATGGCCGTTCAAATTTACCGTTATCTAAAGTCCTTTTTTTCCAAATTTTTGATCTCGTTTTTCTTCTAAACCCCATAATGTAGAACTTTGAAATTTTAGCAGCTTTTAGACATTAATAAATAATTCATTTCGTTAGAAGAAAATTTTTTTCCATCTCCACCCCCTCTCAAGTTATGGCCTCTTGAAATTTGTAAAATTTGCATTTTCGCCGCCTTATATTTCTGAAACCGCAAGCTTTTTCAAATTTCTATAAACGCAAAAAGTTAACGGTAAATTCCATGATATTAAAAAATATAATTATTTTTCTTAACTCATACAATTAAACCTTAAAATCGAGCATTACGTTAACCCCTGCTTATATTAATTTTTGCTTTATTTCAAAGACTGCATAAATCGTTCATCCTAAACATATGCAATCCTAGAAATAGTTTTGTATATGAATGAAAATAATTTTAATGGTGTGATAGGTATACATACTCGTAGACTGTATTTAAAAGCAGAATTTTCACTTGTTGAAGGGAAAAGTGCTACAATACAAACCATTGGTTTGACCCAACTTTATTTCTTTTTTAATTCCTAAAAAAAAACACTTTTCACATTAAAAAAGGCACGCACTGACCTTGTCCACGTAACAACTAAATACTTAGGGGGTTTTCGTTTATTCAGTTCTAGAATAGTTCCAGCTTGTAGTACGTTCGAAAATTCACGAAACATACACTGAAAATATAGATAGTTCGGGAACTACTGGGAACTTGCAATTAAGTGCATTAATTTAGTTGCTGCCTCATGAAATTTCTTTTTAGCACTTTCCCCAAAAAATTTCGAAAAAAAGTGCTTATTAGTTTCACCCTGTCCGTCCGACCGTCCGTCCGTCCGTCGTCTGTCCGTGCGTCTGTTTACAAAACTTCTACACCCTTGAAGATAGAAACCTGAAATTTTATACGTACATAGATCTTTACTAGAAACTTGTTTTCGTAAAACAAAATTTTTACATATCTCCCCCTCTCTATTTCTCTGAAATTTTGCAAACGCATAAAGGCAGCGGCTTGCTTCCCCTAGCGGGATAAACTATAGTTAAACTTTAGAAAAACAAAATGGCCGTTCAAACTTACTGTTTTCTAAAGTCTTTTTTTTCCAAATTTTTGATTTCGTTTTTCTTCTAGACCCCAACCTGTAGAAGCTTGAAATTTTAGGGGCTTTTAGATATTAATAAATAGTTCATTTCGTTAGAAGAAAATTTTTCTTCATCTCCACCACCTCTCAAGTTATCGCCTCTTGAAATTTGTAAAATTTCATTTTTTGACACCTTATATTTCCTAAACCGCAAGCTTTTTCAAATTTCTATAAACACGAAAAGCTAACGGTAAATTCCATGACATTAAAAACTATAATCATTTTTCTTAACTCACACAATTAACCCTTAAAATCGAGCATTATGTTAACCCCTCTTTATATTAACTTTTGCTTTATTTCAAAGACTGCATGTAGGCATTATCCTAAATATATGCAATCTTAGAAAAAGCTTTGTATACATAGAGTGTATTTAACAGCAGAATTTTCACTTGGTGAAAGGAAAAGTGCTACAATACAAACCATTGGTTTGACCCAACTTTATTTTTTTTATAAATTTAAAATTCAAAAAAAAAATTTTAAATTTCAAAATGGCAGTATTAAAGAGTTATTAAAGTAAGTTTTCTTTAAGTCTTCAAATCTTGTTAAACTTTCCTTATTTTGCAGTGAATTGGAAGGCGAAAAGTATTGGGATACAATTTCATAAACAATGTAATTTTTGTTATTTTCGAACAAGTGGTTATTCGGAAGTTTCAGAATTTGTAGACTGCGTAAACAAAAAAAACTTAGCTAAAGTTTTTGCAACCTGTTTAACGTTGCAATTCAATTCTGTATTCAAATTTCATTAGAAATCAAAAATCAAACTTGAAATAATGAATTTTTAGATGTTTATTTGATGTAGTAGGCTTAGCGACAGCCACACTAGTGACAAATTCGTAACTTATCATAAAGCTTTTACTAAAGCAATGAAAAAATTTAAATTTTTTTTTTTGTGGTAACGAACTATTACCCAGCATTTACACATACAAGTTACTTGCAAGCAAGTTTGTATAATATTAATTGTCAATTAGTTTTTCGAAATGTCAAATTACTTGCTATTATGACGTAGGCGTTTAGCAAGTTAATTTTTGAAAATGTCTTTGAGATGAAAACAACTAGCAATATATATAATTGTTTATAAATTTTAGAAACCATAAGTTTGCTAAGTTTAATTTTTTCAAAACAAAATTCAAAAATTTTAAATTAAAAAAAAAAAATCAAAACAACAAATTTTTTTTTGTGAATTTCTCAATATGTCAAATTACTTGCTCAAATTACTGGCAGCAAAATTTTCTTGCAAGTTGAACTGCAAGTAAACAAGCAAGTAGAAATATTTCAATGTGTTAGTAAAATTTTTGTATGTATTGCAACTTTCTTGCAAGTAACTTGTACGTGTAAATGCTGGGTTAATCTGTCAGCAAATTAGGAAGTTTAAAATATTTAAACATTTTTTTTTTTCCTAAAATTATTCGGGGACATCAAATAGAAATATTTCTGTAGAATAACCCATATGCAATTTGTTCAGACGTAGTCACTTATCCACAAATAAAAGGTCGTTATGCGATAGCAAAAATTTACATTAAGGCGTGTAGATGCAAAAAAGAAAAAAAGAGATGATGCAGTTATTTACATTTTGAAATCGTTATTTACATTTTCATTCTTAATCGCTTTGTGACCTTCATTTTAATTTCCAGTTCCAAAAAATATGCAACTCGGATGCAATTTAAAAACACTTTGCTCGTAATTTAATTTAAAAAGAAAATATCAATAGCGTCTTAGATTTTGTAAACTTTAATGTATTAAAAATTACAATAACATACAATATTTTTTGATTTAAAATACATATAGCAATAGACAATTATGTAAAAACTTTTTATTGTTAATGTTTTTTAATAAATATTTTATACCGAAATAAAACATTTAATATTTTTATATTTTATTTAATGTTTTAGTGTTTAAAAACATAATAGTCAAAAAGAAGTTTAAAAAAAATCTTAATGGGGTTATTAATTGTACAACCTAGGTTATAATTATTTAAAATTTTTTTTTTATTTTTAATTTCATTTGGCAACACTATTTTTAACATTTTTATTTTAACATAAATAAGTAGGCACTTAATTTCATTCCAATCTTGAGTGAATCGACTTTTATTTATTAATTAACAGAATCGATTTTCCTATTTTACTCAATTAATTTTTTTTTTGTTAACAGTTTTTATACAATGTACATACATATGTACATAAGTACTTCAAATTATTTGAAAATTTTCATACTAGATTTCTTAAAATATACATACATATATACTCATACGTGTATAACAATTTTTAAATATTTAAGAAGAAATCGTCACAGTAACCTCTTCTAATACAAAATATTGTTTCTTATTTAAACATACTCAATTAATTATGTGTTCTGTATGTATTTAATATATGTATAAACGTTATTGAAAACTTTTCTGTGCATTTTATAATCTCTTTATAAGTACAAATTTAAACTTGCTTTTTGAATTATTGTTTTTGTGCAACAATTTTTATTCTAAAACTGTAGTGTTATTATGTATGTAATACCTTCAATGTTAGAACAATTTTTATAAAACACATTTATTTTTATAAGTTAATAGATTTTAACATTTCTTAATAGTAAAGGAAGACTTTTTAGAAATAATATTAAATTAGTAAAGAAAAACTATTGACAGAAACCTGTCAAATACTTTTTAATAAAATAAAATCTCTTTCAAAAAAATAACAAAGTTAAAGATATTTGCTTTAAGCAATTAAATATCAACAAACGCCAATAATATTCACAACAAATTTAATTTTTTTAATATGCAAGGCAGTGAATTGCTTATTTTGATATGACGTACATACATATATATTTTTGCATCTTTGTATAATGCACATGTGTTAAAAATTATAATTTAAATGTTACTCGATTAAATTTTTTGATTGACATAAAAGCAGTAAGCATATTTTTCTAATTTCGATTTGAAAATTAATTGTTATTGTTCTCCTAAACGTTGTAGTAAGTAACACCAGTAATTTTGTTGTCTTTAAAAATTAAAACGTTTACAATTTAATTTGCTCTAAGTATATTGCTTTTTTTTTAATATTTTTAATAAGTTTTAAAAAGTATGTTTCTTCAAATAAAAATTCGAACATAAAATAAATTTTTTCTGGAACTTAATGTAAAAGCAAAAGGTAGTAAGCAACTGGAAGCGTTTACAAATTTCTGTTAGTTATAGGTTATTTGCACTTTTTGTAGTTGACGTGGGATAAACATATGTATATGTTTATTATATGTACATACATATGTACATATATAAGTATGTACATAATATGTATGTATTTATTTTCCTTTCTATTTAACATTATATGCAAAAATGAATTAAATTTTTTTGTACTTAAATTACAGTTTTGCTTGCTTTAATATTGATACCAAGCTGGACGTCTAATCCATCTTAACCTTTGATTTATTTGGTCTGAACGAATTTTAATGCTAGCACCTTCTGCAGCACGAACAGTTTCTTTGACCTAAAATTTAGATGGAAAATGATTATTAATAATAATTGACTTACATTGTGTTATATAGTAGCTTACGCTTTGCATGAGATTTTGGGCGTTTCCAACTAACATTTCTGTTGCTTCGCGGTCTTCTTCAGAACCTTGTGCACCAAGCATTGTAGCTTTGACAGTGGATAAAATTTTTAATTGTGTACCAATTGTTGGGATTCTCTCACAAACTTGCAAAAGATTTGTACGTATTCGTCTATCAGTGCATTGTCTAGCGAGTTCCTTAGCTAAACGGGTTACATCTTCGGATGCTTCAGCAATTTGTTTTGCAGTTGCAATTAATTCACGCTTGCTACCTTTAGAGTCTGCCCGTACAAGTTCTGACAGTCTAGCCATTAAAACAGCCATGCGTTTTGCTGCCGCAATAATTTCGTTATCCTTTGATGACCATTGTCTAACTTCTTGATGCAATCCACGAGCTGCTTGCTGAAATTTAACATTTTGATAATTGAAGAAATAATTAAGAAATTTAAGATTTTTACAAAATTTAGACAATATTTTGTTAAATAAAAGGTATGTAATGTTTACCAGTATTGGTTGATTCGCGTGTGGCATAGCATGGAAAACACGATCATCTTCATCATCTGTTTCTGGGGGTGGTGGCCTTATTGGAACAGATGGAGCTTGTTCCCTTGGAAGTGGAGGTCTAGGTGGAGCACGGTCAACTACAATTTTTTTCAATAATTATGTATCAATATTAAAAATTTTTAATTGAACAATACCATTAGATATATGCAAAGACTCCAAATTTGGCGGTTGTGGAATATCTGGTGTATGAGTAATGGCACCGCGTACATCTCGAACGGCGTTCAATAACTAAAATACAAAAATTTAAATGAGCAATATGCAATAAAAGCAACATGAATAATAATATACATCTTTGTTAGACTCTCTCCAAGCGTGAGCTGCATTTGGATCATTGATATTGGTAGCAACTAGTTTTGCGTTTTGTACCATTGCAGGTAAGGCTCTTTCCAGTCTGTTGGCAGCAGCATTAAGTTTAGCAGTGAAATGAGGATCTTCGGAATTATCTGCTTCTTGTTTGGCAACCAATAGAACCCTGTTTACTAATCTAGCTATATTTGACGTGTTATCAACCATTTTTTGAGGTTGCTTGTTAGCAATGGCATCTTCACATAAGACCGTATATTTTTTCATTTGCTCTTCTGAAATTTTAATAAAGTCGGCTGGATCTGTCGCTTGGTCACAAAGTGTTCTCATACGCAATACGGTATCAGCATATTGTTGTTTTAAATTATTGAAATGTTCGTCAGCAGCTTTACTTTCAGGATAATTCATTTTGATGCGTCCGGCGTTTATTAATTGTGGAGTCAAACTGTCTACTTGCGTTGCAGAAGAAAGTAAAACTTCAGCTATCTTTTTGTTACCACAAGCACCACCAGCAGCAACCATTCGACTTGTTTTTGAAGCACGGTCGCTGAATGCTTGTAAATTATTAGCTTTGTGGCCGAAATTTTGGTCCCTTCCTGGAGTACCCTCTGGTACGTTGACTGCATCTGTGAATTGTTTCAAAGGCGTTGAAACATCCATAAAGTCTTCCACGACCCGATTGACTAATGCATTCTGAATTTTTTCTTTTAATTCATGCAACTTTTGATTTAGTTTTCTAGATATTTCTTGGGCTTCCGGTGAATTTCCTAAACCAGCTGCACATAATTTACCCAAACGATTTGATAAACTTTCAACCTCATCGCAAAGATCTAAGATTTCTGCTTTTTGGTGTCCAGGAACTCCTTCGGCAACTTTACGTCCCTCATCAACAATTAGAGCTATGGCACGTTGACCCAGTCCTTTATCATCAACATTTGGATTTGCCAACCAACGGCATGCTTGTTCTAAACGTCCACGCACTGTATGCGCAGTTTGTTGTAACCCTGCTTTATCAACTCCAGCAACCGCATTTTGAATAACATGCTCGAGATTACCCAAACGCTCGCGAATTTCACGTGCCAAAGTTTCTGCTTGTGGTGAATGACCTTTACTATCCTGCCTCAATTCACATAGTGCATTTGTCATCGTTGAAATATCATCAGCTAATTTATGAATTGTAGCACCATTTTGCGGTAAGCATCTATCAGCCACACGATGTGCATTTTCAATGATTTGCCTTAAAGCTTTTTCACCAACACCACCTCTTAATGCATATGGATTGCCTAACCAGTCAAAAGCGGCCTCCATTTTATTTCTAATAGCATTCATTAATTTTTTCAGAACGGTTAAATTATCTAGTTCACTTGTGTCTTCATCATATGTTGTTAATTGCAATACACGAATAATTTCTTGTATTTCATCGGTCATTCGGTGTGCCAAATAATTACGATTTTCAGCTGCTTCTTCAGCACCTTTACCACCTTGTTCCATTATGTGAATATAAACCTTCATGCTACATATTAAAATTGGTGCAAGAATTTTTACTTGTTCTAAGCATCGTACCAATATTTCACTATGAACTTGATGTGTCAATTCTTTTTCACGCGCTGATACTTCCCTTGATACTTTACTCAAACAAGGACTTAAATCTTTTAAAAATTGTATTAAATCTTCCATAGTATCAATGACTTCAGCTATTGCCAAATAATCTAAAACTCTTTTACATTCGGCAATAATTTTTCTTACTTCGGATTCATCGAAACATAAAAGTAAAGACGATGTTCCCTGCAATATGCCACGACTACCTTCAATTAATTTTTTTCGTGCTGGTCCAGAATATGGATCAGATCTAAGCATGCCAGATGCCTCTTCAAGTAATTGTGATGCATTTTCAACGCGAACAAGCGATGTGGGCATATCTTGCTTAAGAATTTTGTCATCAGAACTATTTATAGTCTCTTTTCCAACTTTAACTAAATTTGTAACAGCCAATGATACTGCTTGGACTGGACGACTAAGATCCGGCATTGCATTCCCATCTTCCGCTTCTTCATGTAAGATCACTAATCGCGAAACCTATAAATAAGAAGAAGTAAAATAATTAATTTATATAAATTTAATAGAAAACTTTCTAATAGAAAAATTGAATGTTTACAACTTTAATTTTTATGAGTCATATGCATTTTTGTATATGTGTATGTTTTAAAAATTTATGTATTCGTTCTGAAAGAATAAAAGATTAAGTCATTGACTTTATTATTTAGCATTGGTTTTTGTTTTTTCATTTATTTTTACAACAGTTTTTCACGCGTTAAATCAGTCACTTTCCTTCGTTTTTCTTCATATTTCAATTTGTAGAATATTTGCTTTTTATAGCAGTGACGTCAGAACGAAAATTTATTTAAAAATAATTGTGTTTGTGTGTTCGAGGTGATCTTAAAAAAAATATTTATAAAAAAATCCATTTTTTATTTTTTTTATTTTGTCATTTAACAGCAGTTTTTTCATATAAATTGTATACACATAATTTTTATGATTAAAATGGGATATGGTTTAGGATTTAAAAAAACAAGAACATAACATATGTGTACTGTTAACAGAATATTGGAGATGGTATTTTTGTCTTTTAAAAGTTAAAATAAAATCAAATGCTTTGTAATATGCAAAACACCATGTACTACATATTCAAAGTTAAATCATATTTAAGAGATGATCACATCGTTTGATTGAAATATTTTTTTTTTACGAAATTGCTAAACGAATACTTTTACCCAAATTAGATAGGCAATATATTTTTCACTTTTTATACTTAGTAAGTAATAGAAAAAAAATAATATTAAACACCTATACGTGTATGCATGTGTTAATTCCTAGCTAGACAAATTCAATTCCTTCAATCCCCAAGCATCGGTTTCCATTTTTTAACAGAAATAGCAGTTTGTTCATTAAATTGTTTTTTTTTTTCCTTAAATTTTGCTCTCTAATTAAAAGAATTTTTTGGAAATTAAACTCATTTAATATTATAAAACATAGTCCCAGCCCCAAAATCATTATTGACACAGATTATCAAAACGTAAAATTAAATTAATGTTTTAATATTTTATGTAATCTTATCGAATTTTATAGTTTCCTCTTTATCTCGCTTAATTTTTTTCTCAATCACCATTATATTTCGAAGTATTTATTATACTTGAAGCATTTTAATAATTAAAATAACTAAATTTATAAAATTTAGTTTAATAACACATGGAAGTTAGAACACAACTACACATGAAATAGAATTTCTTGTTCACAAAATAATTTTGCCAAGCCTATAGTAACTATCCTTTGCTCATTCACTACCAGCGTTGCCAAAAGCAAAGATTTATCTCCAAGATGAAGGTTTTTTGGGCATATTTTTTGTACAAAACTTCAAAATAAGAGTTGTAAAATTTTTAAATTTTCCATACAAAAATATCTTCAAAATTAAGGTTTTTGGTAAATTGGCACCATTGATCCTAAAAGTAACTAATAGGCAACTTCCTAACAGAAAACTTTTGGTATTCTCCACTTTATTTAATTCTATATTAATCGACTTAAGGCAATAACTAATGCGCATTCGGATTATAAATTTTTTTTTGATGCCTGATTTTTTTCGAATTTAAATAGTGATATTTTTGCTCTCTACTTTTTTTAATTTAACTTCAATTGAAGAGCGTAAAAATTTTTTTTCATTGAATCTTCAAAATGAAGATTTTATTTTAAAAAAATTAAGATATTTGGGCTGGTCTATTTGGCAACACTGCCCCTAACTAACAATTATTATATTGCATAGAATTAAGTTTTCATGAAATTGCTGTTCTTAGAGCTCCTAAATATAAAAGTACTAGAGGTTATAATCGGTTTTTAAGAATCAAATATTTTATCTGAATCTGCCTTGAAAGATACAAATCGATAAAGTTCGATAGAATGATATTAGTAAGTATATGACGGTAATTTAAAAAAAAACCTAATTTTGATAGCTCAAATTCAATTTAGATTTTGCATAAAATTTACATATTGTATGCAAAAATGATATCCAATCAAAAGATCATATTAACGATAAAAGTTCGATTTATTTCTAATTAATTAATATATGGTTATTTTAATTTTTCCAATAATAAAAAAAATACTAATGTTGTCAGCACATAAACGACCGCAAGCGTTTATGAAAACGACTTTTAAATACTTTTTTTCAAATTTTAAGGATGCTAGCAAGCTTTTAGTTAACATGTACCTACATAGTTCATTTTATGCAATCCAAATTTCATTTCTTAAGTTCGTTAATCAGTTGCGGTAACAAACACAACTGAAAAAGATTATATGTAGTGTATATAGCCCCTAAAGTGAAAGTTCAGTGATTTAACACCCTAAATTTAAACATTAAATTTCTAAGAAAATTCTTAATTCTTTTTCTGTATATATGGGCAAAAATTTAAATTTCACCCGTAGTAAAAATTTAGTTGCTAACACCTAATGATCCATGAAAAGTTAAATGGCTTATCGCACTATCTGATGAAGCTTATACATACAAAATGGAAATTATTAATAAAATATTTCCTTAAAATGATCAAAAATGTAAAATCAATCTTTAACATAGCCAAAACAAACTCAGGTATAAATTTTCAAAATTGGTTTAAAAATGTACAAATAAGCCCAAAATTCGCTAAAAAAAGTGGATTCGCTTCGCTACCATGGAGAAATGTTTTTCAACCGAAAACTCGATATGCGACTTTTGGTGCCATCACATTACCTCCCTTCTTGTATGCAATGCGATTAAGAGAGAAATGTTTACATGTTTATATAATATGTAAGTGTGTGTACTATTTATTTAGTAGAAATCTGTTTGCCATTGTACATGTATATATATATATATGTATGTATATTTATATACAACATATTGTGCTGAAACATTTATAACCAGAAAACGTATACAGTTATATTGTGCAATATGGTCATAATAAAACTGAAAATTAATCATCAGCAAAAAGTTAAATTGTCTGTTGTTAAGTTTTATTTTATTAAGTAATTCTAATTGGATGATGAATCATTTTATTTTTAATATATTCGTGCTTTTTTGCGCAAAAAAATTTAGTTCTGGATACAGAAAAAACCAAACATAGCATATTATATAATTTGATTATTTTTTATTTCGTGCTAGATAAATTCAAAATAAAAAATTTTATACAAAAAGTCATATTGATATTAAGTTTTTTCTGAAAGCGGAAAAAGGTGCATAAAATATTAAGTACTTATAACAAAAATTATTTAAGCCTATTGCCGATTTTGTACATCAAAGTCAGCGCAAAAAATTAAAAATCACCTCTGTGTCAATTTAAATGTTAACTAATGCATATTGATAAAAATTATTATAAGGAAATCTGATTTACTTATCAGAGCCGAATCATACTTTCATCAAAGATTTCAGGTCAAAGCAATGCTTTGTAAAGTTTCAGATTTCCCTCGAACAAGTGAAAATGCTTTCTTTAAAAAAAAATTTACTTAAAAAATATTCTTAGTTGCATACATAAGTACATAGCTATAATATATCAAAAAAATATTTACATACGTATTATGAAAAAATAAGAAATTATTGCATACTTTTAGGATGTTAACAAAAGCCATAACATAATAAATTATTTGATTCGTCAGATAATTAAACTACATAATTATCTTTTAAATGAAATTTTGATCACAACGATTTTGATTTACCGCAAGTTTTTTTTTTGTTTTTATGCAAACTTAGAAAAGCTGCCACAGTTTCGGAAAAAACATGAAGCCGAAAATAAAAATCTTAGGAGGCAATAACCTAGAAGACCTATGTATATACATATATGTGGAAAAAATTTATTGTGACCAAATAAATTCTTTGTTAATTTCTTCAAAGTGTTAAAATCTTGGAGTTTCAAAACTTTCGGTTTAAAATAACAATTATATTAAAATTTTGAAAAAAAAAATAACTATCAGTTCCAACGGCCATTATATCACTATAATATTGAATATTATGCCTTTTCTCAATAGAAGACTATAGTTGCTATTTCTCCGTTTTTGGAGAGTTTAGAAGTAGTTTGGGATTTTGATAAAATAAATTCTCAACAAGTGGCATTTTAAGGGCTTTTAGAAGCCATATTTTTTAGAGAAGTGAAAGATGAATGTAAGCATTTTCATTAAGGAATTTAAATGATCTTATGACTAAAATCAAAATTATAAATTTTATTGAAAATACAAAAAATTCTAGTACAAATATGTAAATAAAGTCAAACAATATGAGTCAGAAAAACGGATCCTCGTTAGTAAAACAGAAATGCATTGGCCAGACATATAAATGTTGTATGTATGATACAAAGTACATTATAATAAATTCAAAATTTACATTACGAATTTTAAAATACATATTTACGAAATTCCATTATATGTATATGTATAAAGGTAGACAGTGGAAAAGCAAGTATTGTCCGAGCCTTATATTTGGGTAAACGAACTTTGTATTTTATTTTCACTATATAGAAAATTGTTATACAAGTGCTCTAAAAAAATTAGTTCTGGTGCATTCACATTCGAATGAAATTGGTGTACATATGAGACATACACATTATTAAATCAAAGTTTTTGAATCTCATAATAGTGAAATTATAATTTTTAAAATAATTAAAATTTTTCTTTTGTTTCTTTATCAATTTCTTATACCAGGAAATCATTATGGTTGTACTATAAATATAAAAAATCTAAACAGCTGATGTGTAAGGATTTTTAGAAACGAAACATTCCACAATATTACAAGTAAAATTAAGTATAATGCACAATATTACATGTACTTGTAATATTACAAGTAATATTACAACAAAAAATTTAATTGAAGTTGTGAGAATTATAAAATGGAAGGGATTTCAACACACGAAACTAAACTTTGTAATTAATTGTTGTAGTTTCTTTGTTTATAAATAAGGCAAAATTTCAAAATATAACAATAAACAACTTTTTGGCATTTTTTCAATTAGCTCTCTTGAATAAGAAGAGAAATTAAGTAGAACTATTGGATCATATACAATTTTCTTCTG